TTTTGTCGAATTTTGAACTTCAGACTTGAGACCATTACCATGTCTAACAGACACAAATTTATCGCATACATATTTCTAAAAAGTTATTATTATTTCTAATTCGTACATAAATACTAAAATATTAAATTTCTATAAACTAAATATCAGACTGAGGCTACACATGTCTCAGACAAAATAATGCAAAACGTTTTAGTATGAGAAGTTAGGTCGTTTTAAGCCAGAATTTCTAGCAACTTGAAGTAAACTGCCACCCTGTAGGCAAATTTAAAGTTCCCTAATTCAGATTACTGTACATAACTAGAATATGATATGAAAGCACACATTGACTTATTTTATTGCACTACGGTATGAAAGCCACACATTGCAGAAAGAAAGTACAAAAATGTTTATAGATTACTTGCAATCAATGCATAAAATAAATACTAAAAGCTATACAATAACCATGTTTGAACATCGAGAGTACAGGGAAGCATAACAAAGCAAATGAAAACAGAAAATAAGCTTAATAAATATTACAGGTGCAAGACACTTTATTTACATATTATCATATTTATTCAATTATGTGCTTTTCTAATTTAATAGTCTTTGCTTGATAAGCAAACAGCAAACATAATAATATTTTCCGAATACGTATCCCGATCTTCTGCTACGGATAATCCCTTAGCAGGGAAAACGTATCAAGCTGTCCTCCTATAAGAAGTACGTCATCGGATGACAACTATAAAGTGGTTAATCGTAATAAGCTGTTTCTCCCCGTTTTGGCGTTAAGGCTGTTCTCCGAACCTTATCCGATCTTAGCTCTTGTTATGAATATCCATGAAGAGAGAAGTGATTCCTATCAATCGTTGCATTTCTTGTTTTATTATATCTAGTTGGCCTTGCTAATAAGGCTCGTATTTAAAGGTAGTAGTAGCTCTATCGTGACGTCAGATCACAGCCATAGCTACTAGAGATAGGAGCCTTTGAGCAAGCCTGTAAATCTAGTTGGCCTTGTCCATCACCCGACAGCTTTTCATTAGTCAGACACATCTACAGCATTATATTCTTAAATTACTCTCAAATTATATTTTGGAAAATCATAATCTGATAAATTTTATGCGATATGAAATCAATCTAATTCAAATTAAATATTTTGCTAGCAACATAGCCTCTCAATTAATAATGTGGATGCATTTTAGTCGCGATCGTCTGGCATTGTTTGAAGGATAAGCGTCTCGGTCATCTGGTGTTACTAAAGTTCATGGCAGTGTTTGATAAATAAATGATGCATAGATACGCCAATAGTCTTGTTTAAATAATTGCATCTGAATTTTAATGTGAAAATATGTCTGTATGTGTGGGTTTAAGTGCGTCTCAAGCAGATTTAGATGTTCAGGGTGAAATAGACTTTGATTTCTTTGAACAAAGTGATCAATCGAATATTTGTAACAAAACTTCTACTCTGCAGGATAGTGTTTCTACCGATTCTAAGGAAACTTCTAAATATATTTCTGATAACAATTCTGAAAACTGTATGCCAAATGATAAATTAGATTTCTCAGAACATGGACGAAATATATCGAATATTCCAGATTCTTGCTCAAGTCGTAATTTCAGTAAGCCTTTGATTACAATTTCTTGTGATGGTACCACAGGTATCGTTCAGACAACGAATATTGAGACTGTTATTCCATCTCCGTTTCACTATAAAGATAATAAATGCGATAGAATAAGTCCGTGCAACTCAAGGAAAGGAAGACGATTATTAAGCCCGCGATTAAAAAGCAAGATTTTTAGAGATGATAATGAAATATCAGATGACAGCTCTTTATCTAGCATGTCAGAATCCGAATCTGAATCGGATATATCTTCTGTAAGCGATGATTCATTTGAACTGAATGAAGAGTCTGATTCAATGACAGATGTGAGCCCATTAGTGTCACCTTTTGAGTGCCATAGCCCTGCTGTGACTAATAATGACAGTTCAGACGTTCAGGTTGCAGAAAGCAGTCCTAAATTACCCAAAAAAGACGGAGTTAAATTCACCGATGACATGGAGAAAAAAGGATGTGTGAAATGTGAAAGTATTGATCTCCATGAGCTACTAAAAGCAGTGAAACGTTTAGAAATGGAGCAAAATATCAACGCCGTCTCCCTTGAAAAATGTAGAAACCCTTCAGTTATTACACAGAATGCAAGATGCCGTAGAAATTTATCATTTTCCAATGAAGAAGTGCGTCGAATTGATAATGACAACCAGATTTTGCTTAAGAAAATTAGAGCACAAGAAAACCGAACAAAAGCACGTAATAATTCTACAGTTCGTGTTCTGTCATCATCTGCAGTAAACAGACAAAGACAACAACGTCAGATCGAATTGGACAATTTGGTATGTAAAGTACAGACTTTTTTTAATAATTGCGATGATTTAAAATGAATCACTGCAGAAGTATTAGAAATTGAAGCATTTTCTTGCAATTATTTTTATTCTTTATGAATATTATGTCACTCACCATGACCACTTCTTTAGAATGTGCAATTTTTATGAAACCTAAAATTATTACTGGATGAATAAATATTATTGCAGTTTCCAATTTTGGGAAGCACTTCCGGAGAGTACCCGGTGAATGTAAACATTGCCAAATTTGGCGATAATAGTTAAAATCTGGTAACCCAGCGGATTCAACTATTCGCTTGTTGCAACATTCATCTGCGTCCATTTGTTTCGTTATCACTGTGGTTCTTCGCATTTGCAGATTTCTATTATTCTTCTTTTATTTATTACTTTTTCTTATTTTTTAACAACGAATAGATAGAAATATTTTGTAGATCCCGGTTCTCGTTCGGGATGAAAGGAAGAAATAAAGCGGGAGGGGTGAATGCTAATTTGTAACACGGCTGTTCACGTTTGTTTCTTAATTTTATTAACAGCTGTACGCCGCAGAACCATGAGGTTCGAAACGCTCAATAATTCGTTTTTGTATCTCGCAAAAATGTGCGTTTTTAAATAATTAGTAATGCTTTTATTTTTATTATTGTTTATTGTCACCTAAAACTATGATAATAATCAATTTATGGCGTAAAATAAAATTGTAACATATATTGTTTAATGCTTTCTTACAATAACCTTTCAGAGGATGGCAGGTGTGTGACATAAATAGATTATTAAATTTTAATAATAAATATATTTATTACTGATTATCTGTGACAGATAGTTTGATGTATTCCCATGTCATCAAATTAGCAACCCTGCTGGTGTAAGAATATAGTTCAAATGACTCTTGAAAAGTAATGAAATGTGTATGTTCAAGTTTATTAACATGCTACTGAAGAAATTTGATATTACTGTTGAAGGTTATAGTATTGTGAAATAAATTATGAAAAGGATGGGTATTTGTTTCAATGTAAAATTGCTTTAACCTGCATGCAAGAACTTAAAAAAAAAAAAAAAAAAAAACTGAAACAGTTAATCAGAGTTCATACCCATTTCTGCACACAGAAATTAAGGACCATTATGAAAAAAAAAAATCAGTACCTATGAGTAAACGCGAACTGAATAATCAATTAAAAATTAGCGATGCCTGCATTTTCACATTTGTAATACCATCCTAAATAAATTAGATCCATAAGTAGTAGTATTATTAAACACATGAATTAACATAATTATTAATAAGTTTGAAAAATGAAATAAATTTAGTAATTGATCAAGTAGCATTAAATATTTTACACTTATAATAGTTGGGCATATTGAAAGAAGAAGTGACATTTAATTTACTAACTATGTAACTTTTTTTTTATGTCTCATAATGTCCATACTTGGTCAGCTAGCGGTTTAGTAAGTAGCAGGTTTTATGTCAAATGATAGGTTAAAATGTGTGATGTGTGTGTATTTAATTATGGCAAAGCACACGAGGGCTATCTGCCTAAGGGGAGGGATGCCTTTCGTGGAGGACTTTCTAAGGGAAACTGGCTCGTATCACGTTACACATGGGGAAACCACGAAAAACGCCCATGCAGCCAGCCCGTTCGCGGGATTTGAACCTCACCGAACTACCAGTGTTCAGCGACTTTACCGTCGGGGCGCTGGGGGCCCCATAGGTAAAAATGAGAAGTATCATAATCAGCAAATTCATAACAAAGTTTAATATTTAATAATTAATTTCTGTTTAAATTAATACCAATTTATTTCCTATCACGTTTAACCTGTAGTTTTACATCTACATGCTTTTTAATCTGTGAATTTTACTACCATATGCTTAATATATGTTTAGTCTGCTAACTAGAATTTACATGCACAAAATCACGTTTACAAAGTATCACGTTTACGGCTTGCCTCAGCGTCGATGAAACGCGAGCTTGGCGAGTAAAAATGGAACGGCCCCAACGGGTTCGCTCCCGAAGCGCCAACGGGTTCTCTGCGGATGAAAACCCAATTTTGGTTATACATAGTTAGGATATATATCCATATTATCACTTTTCATTTTTCAAAAAAAAAAAAAAAAAAATATGCTAAATATATATTACTGTGTAAAATAATCAGATGTACTGAATTACCAACCATCTTTTGTTTTGTTTAAATTACACCAAATGAAAATCGTAAGTTGTCAATGGCAATATGGTTTTACATTAAAGTTTCTTAATCATTCTGGATTATGAAAGCTGATAATTTTGTAAGCTTCCTGTTAAATGTTATGTCTTTTATTTGTAATATTTTTTTAAATCTCTAGTTTGTATTTTGAAGAAAACACGCTTCTTTTAAACATCTCTTGCGAGAGAAATATTTAAATTAAGTGAAAACATTTGAAATTTTTATTCATGTTGAAGTGCAAGGAAGTGAATTGCATGATTTATTTCTGAATTCAGTAGTTTTTAATTTTTATATTTGACTGTTAGCCAAATGGAAAAATGTATGAAAATGTGATAAATTACCATATATGGTACCCATGTTAAACTGGATCAGAAATGAGTGTAGTTTGGCCAGTAATAAATTTTTGGGTCTATAGAACTATATTTGAGAGTGACAATTACATGCTGCAGTCCAGCTTTTTTTTGTGCATATTTATAGAAATCTGATTTTTGATGACATTACTGAATCTAATTGTATAGTGATATGTCTGTTGAGAGATATTGATGTAGCAAACTTTCATACTTGATGATTAAATTTTTTTTGGATATTTTTAATGGTGCTGTAAGGATTCCATGTATTTATTTATATCAGTCTGCCAGCTTTCTGTCCTTCCGACAGATTTCATGCATATAAAATTATAGTCTACATTTGGGGGGGGGACATTATTTGTCATAAGAGTCCGTTTCAAAATTGAGTGAGAATTCTTATCAGTATCAACAGATGTAACTATATAAACTTTTTGTTTAGTGGACCTTATGTTCCAATATTTATCACAATTAATGTATTACAAGTTTGAAGCTAACTTGCATATGTTTTGGTTATAGTGACCCTCAAGTTAAAAACCACCAATATTGATATAAATTGCCAAATGGGTTAACTATTGTTTACTTCAGATATTGTGTCATTATGGGAACCTTTCAACTAAATCTTCATTGCTGCAGAATTTAAATTCTGATTATCCATACTTTTATCCAAATTTCCCAAATCATCCAAGCCCTAATGATTCTGGATCTTGGACTTTGTACTATATTTATTTTATTCTTTTTGCATTTGAAATTTTATTGAGCTTTTATCTTTCACAGTACTGTTAGCAAGCTGCCATTTTGGAAATTATATGTGTCTTGGAGATTAGTCACTAGAATTAGCAAATGTAATTGCCAGGTTTTTAATATGCAACATAATTAATTTTGAGACTTTTGATGAATGTTGTCTTTCTCCTCTGAAATGTTTCCCATTCTAAATTTTTAATTAATTAGAAAAGAAGCAGTAATATTTCTTTTTTTTGGGGGGGGGGGTATTTACACCAAGTGTTTGCAGAATATTTGATTTCCATACTTACTTTAGACTGCATATCATACTTTTGTTAATCATTCTCTTTTTAGAATGCTGATCACTTTTTAATTTCCATCAATCTGAAAATAAGCAGTTAGTTTCTTCGTGATATTTTTCATTAATAATTTTCCGGTTAGTCTATATTTTAGGGTGCCCCTTGGATTATCGCCAAATTGTTACATTTATGGTAACCTGAGTAGTTGAATGTTCTGGCAACCCTATTATGATGTGATTGGTAGTTAATTTAAATGATGGGAAAATATTTGTAAGGGCCTATTTCTGCATTGGATGTCAGTTAGGAAGCATGTTGCTTATTTTCTGCTGTACACCATAAAATGGCTGTATATGATGAGATTAATCTGAAGTTTTTGTATGATTTGGAAAGAAAGGGAAAAAAAGCATCAATTGACTGTCGTGTAAATGAAGGTTTACTTAGTAGTCATTATAAGTATTCTGTTTGTATGAAGGAAATGTGTATGGTCGAATGTAAAGATCGTTCAAATGGCTTTAAATAGGTTTGTCGCAAGAAAGATTCATGCAAGAAATGCCACTGACAGTCCAAGAGTATGGTGGATATTTTTTACTCTTATTTTTGTGAATTTGCATATTCTAGTTCAGATAATATTAGAAAGTTTTTGGATGCTGTTCAGAAATTTTGTGTGCCACAGAGTGAAGACAGAGAAATTTCTAAATATGGTAATATTCCCACGGTAAGTCTATATCTGGAACTACTCTTAAATGTGCCCTCAGGTCGGCAAATTTCTCGCCAAACAATTTTGGCGAGAAACTACACGCTGTCTTATTACTACCTAAATTTTTTGTCTGCAATTCAAATTTGAAGCCTAAAATATCTCCAAAAATGCGGTTTTCGCAAATGCAAAAACCACGTTTTGAAGACAGAATTTAAGCTAAAAATCTGAAACAAAAAGAAAAAATTTAGATAGTAAAAATGTAGTTTCTAACCAAAAATATTTGACAAGAATCCATGTACACAGTGGTACGTTTTAACTTCAAAAAACATCTACGAATTGCACATTCTAGGCAGAGAAGGAATCTACGAACTATGCACACCTCGTTTCAATAAATTAACATAATAACAATAAATTTCAAAGAAATTCTGTTTAAACTTAAAAAAGCATCTACGAATTGCACAATCTAGGCATTACAGACAAATCAACCAAATAAACTAAACTACAAACAATTCAAAAAACAACAAGAACAACAGAAATTCATAGTAAAAAAACAGTGAACATAACATTCTACAAAATAAAAACAGTAAAATTAAATGCGCTTACCATAATACATTCCTAAATAAAATTTCGCCAGTCACACAATGTCTCTGAACAAAAGTGCCGCGATTTTGCCATATGATTTCTGAGATTCAAAATTTTGAAAGTAAAGATAAAAACTTCCTCCAAAGTTAACATACT